CCCCCCCCCCACCCAGCCATGGGCAAAATGAAGGGGAGATTAATTGGAGATAAAACTAATCTAAAGGTTTTCTGTTACTGCATTTGAGTAAAAAACAAACACAGAAAGATTTTAACTTACAGATACCTGTTGCCTCTGCATGAGAATAGGGAACTGGGAAATTTTTCATCTGCATCAGCTGCTTACTGATTTCATGACTTTAGATAATTCTCCTAATTTTTCTAGACCTGCAGTGGCTCATCTGTGAAACAAGGGCAATATTTGACTTTGTAAATTATAAATTATGGAATGCAAACAGAAGTAGCACGGTCCCACCCAAACACACTGGAAGCCTCTGCAGGGTAGTACCATCTCGAGCGCCAGACTCCAGCAATCATGAGTCAAGAAAATGCCAACAAGAGAAGCAGCGTTTCTGCTTTGCTCTCCTGGCTAAGCTCCTTGGGATGCCAGCCAGGCATTTTCCTCCCTCTTGGAAACTTGCCTTTTAAACTACGGGGGAGAATGGTACCTTCCTAATCATTCTTCTCACTACACGGGTAGAAAAAGGGCATATTTATATTTTGGCAAAAAGGACCCTTTGCTGGCCTCAGCTGGGCCTGAAAGTCCCTGAGTCACCTGGCTGGCTGTGGGCTGGGGCTGAGGTTATTGTGTGACTTGCCTTGCAGATGCTGGACCCCCTGAGCAGTGCTGAAAATTCCTTGTCAGGAAGCTGCCAATCCTTGGACAGGTCAGGAGACAGGTATGGGACTATGGCTGGTTTGGGGGTTAGTGCGTTGGTGTTTTTGGAACTGTTGGGCTGAGGAAATAAGAGTTAGCTAGTCTGTGTGTCTCCAGTCTAGACACTAGTCTGCAGGCCCATGGTAAAAATGTCACGTTTCTGGGAAAGAAGCCTCTCACTAGAATTCTTAGCCCTCTCAATTTTCCAAACACCATGAGAATGTTATGTTTATATAATTAGATGAGCGTAATAGCAGCTCACATGTATTAAATGTGTACCCTATTTTCCAAGTGACTTTCCACATAATACATGCTGCTATTGTGCGCTTGGCCTCATCACTGTGATGTAAACTGAGAAGCAGTGGACCTTCAGTGTTTTGGGGACAAAATTGAATTATCACCTGTGGGTTTACTTTCATTTTATTTTTCCTCCAGCTGTTGCTGGTGGAATAAGAAACTGGGATATAAAAACCAATAAACAAAATATCCATACTGCCTAGCTTAACCACACCTGCCTGCTTGGTGTATATAGTCTTGTTCTTATACTTTGGGAGGGGACAAATGCTGTCCTTTACATACCAAATGGTTCTGTGGAGCTGGTTTGCCCGTCAGTGGGGGTGTGTTTGGAATTGGCTTTAGCACTGATCCAGCCAGCCTCTCACCTTTGACCTTGTTATGCCCCAGAGCAGGTTTGGGGATTTTTTTTCTTTGTGTAACTGATTAATTGTTCATATGGGTACTGACCTTATGACCATGGCCAAATTTGTACTGTCTTTCCTAACAGATCTGAGCACTGATGAGTGGTGTCTTCCCTCTAGATATCATAGAATATAGCCGTAGTTACTGGTTGGTATCCAATTCGTAGCCTTGTTTGGGGCTCACTCTCCAACCAGGAAAGCAAGAAGGCCCAGGTAAAAGTGTCAGGAGTTGCTGCCACAAACTGAGGGCTCTGCCAGGATAGGGACTGACGCTGGCTTTGGACTATCTCCTAAACTTTGTGGCCAAGCTGGGGGTATTGGGGTGGGGGATGGCAGTAGGATAGGATTACAAAAGATCTGGGTCTACTGGTTGTCAGGGAAAGGACATTTAGGTGGATGCTGGGAAAGAGAGCTAAATTTACTCACTTGATTCTTGGGGTTTTCCTCTGTTGCTCCCATCCTTTATTTTGTTCTCCTTGGGAGTGCTACCTAGTGACTTGGACTTGCTTCCTTGAGGCCTGGCCTAACTTGAACATAGGGTTTTTCTGTCTGTTACCCTAGGCAAGGGATTTTTTTTTCCCAAGTCTTCCCTGGTTGCTAAGGTGGGAGGAAAGAGCAAGAAGAGAAAGTGCTGATCAGCGAGGGTGGAGTTTGGTAGGACTAGAGGGGTTCATCATTCAAGGTTCTGTCGTATTTGGGCCTGAGACGAGTAAAGAGAAAGTAGGAGGCTACTTCCCACCATGTGATGACATGGGAGGGATTTAGAAAAGGGAGTCTGTCTGGATATCCTGCCTCCTGCCCTGATGTGCTGCTTTGGAAGTACACTAAAGTCTACTTTGTGATTTTGTCTTGTTTTTGTCAGCCCATCTTTCCGTAAATCGCGAATGTCCCGAGCCCAGAGCTTCCCAGACAACAGACAGGAGTTCTCCGGTGAGTTCCCTGAAGCCTGGGTGAACTCTGCGGGGTGTCTGCGGGGACTGCAGGCACTCTGTCTGCTTTGATAGCTGAGTTGGGAAGCCAGACTGTATTTTACTGGGTCTTTGGAAAAGTCATGACGCATGTTTGCAACATATGGCACTAGTTCATTTTTGGAAGTACTAGAGTCATTCGCATCTATGTGATTGCTATGTCATTTGACAGCTGACAGTTCTAACTTCACTCTAAAAAAAAATTGAGCGATTTGGTTGAGTTTTGGAGATTTTACAACAAGTTGAAGATGAAAGACCAAACTGCATTTTCGCCATATTTTACTATTTTACTTCCATAAAGGGAAGAACGCGCGTGTCAAGGTTATGAAAAGTTGCATAAAGTTTACGGTGAGAATGCTCTACAAGAACATCAATGCCAATGATGGTTCATGAAATTCCGTGCTGGTGATTTTTATCTCAATGACGTTCCTCGGTCAGGGAGGCCCACTGAGGTTGATGACGACAAAATAAAGGCATTGATCGAGTCAAGCCCACAATACACGACATGAGAGATTGCAGAAACATTGAACATCCATCATTCAAGCGTTCACGACTACCTGAAGAAGCTGGGATACATAAGCAAGCTCGATATTTGGGTTCCACATGAACTCAAAGAAGTTCATTTGACGGCGCATATTAACATCTGCAGTATGCTCATTGAACGTGAGGAAAACGATCCTTTTTTGAAGCGACTGATAACTGGTGATGAGAAGTGGATCGTTGACAACAATGTGGTGCACAAATGGTCTTGATCCTGACGTGATGATTCACCTCAAACGACATCGAAAGCAGGCATTCATCAGAGGAAGGTTATGCTCTCAGTGTGGTGGGATTTTAAAGGTGTGTTTTTCGAGCGCCTGCCAAGGAACCAAACAATCAATTTGAATGTGTACTGTTGGCAATTGGACAGTTTGAACGAATCCATCATCCAGAAACGTCCAGAGCTTGTTAATTGTAAAGGAATTGTGTTCCATTGCGACAACATGAGACCACCCACAAGTTTGATCACCCATCAAAAATTATTGGAGCTTGGATGGGATGTGTTGCCATACCCACCATACTCGCCTGACCTTGCGCCGTCAGACTTCCACTTGTTTCTCTCTCTTCAAAACTCTTTGCGTGGTATAAGGTTCAATTCCAATGAGGCTGTACATCAAGCACCTTGTTCAGTTTCACAAATAAAGACAGGTCCTTCTATGAATGAGGAATAATGAAGCTCACTGAAAGATGGCAAAAGGTTATCGAACAAAACGGGCAGTATATCATTGATTGATCTTTGTTCTTTATATAAATAAATGACCTTTGAAAAACAGACAAAATACGTCATGACTTTTCTAAAGACCCAATAGTTCTCGCGCCTACTGCTCAGGTCTCAGGTGACATAGGGGCTTAAATGGGTCACTCATGATGATCTACCCCAAAGCCAGTGATTCCTCTGTCTTACTCAGATCGGGAAACTCAGCTCTATGACAAGGGGGTCAAAGGTGGAACCTACCCCCGGCGCTACCACGTGTCTATGCACCACAAGGACTACTGTGATGGTGAGTGCGCCTCCGCCTGCCCTCTGCTGGCTGCCTCAGAGAGGACAGCTAGAGCTCCGCCTTGGAAACTTCGCTGCGGGGGGTGGGCCTGGGCACTCCAGACCCTGTGTTTCCTTTATTCCTGAGGAACTGTGCCCAGACTCGAGGCATTAGAGACAGGGAAAAACAAAAGAAGAAAGAGGATGGTATTTGTTCTTTAGTCTAGTTGTGGAGGACGTCGCTTCACTGGCCCATGTTAGTATTGTGATTATTGCACTTTTCCCGTTTGAGGCAGATCAGTGAGGCTCACGTCCGCTCACATTGGCTGCCGGCCACTCACGCTGGCTGCCTGCCACTCACGGTAGCTCACGGCAGCCCACTGCAGCCTACGCCGTCGCCGGCGACTCATGGCAGCCCAACTCCAGGTCAAGCTGTTGTTCACCATCTTAGCTGTAGAGGGCAGTGTCACTGGCCCTCATGTTGGACTCGAACCGGGTCCCTGCCGCTCAGAGCTCACGCTCCCAAGCCAACTCTTAATCAACGAGCCACTCCGCTAGCCCAAGGATGGTATTTTTAGGCCAGGGTACTGCCACTGGGAACTCTGTCCTTTGTCTGAGTGCTCAGCGTGCTCCAAGGCACCAACTCTTCACCGCCCTCTTCTGCCCCATGGCAGCAAAGGGAATGGAGCTTCTGCAGAGGGTTGAGATTAGGATGCCAAAGAAAACAGACTTCAGCCCTGGGTTGGCCTTGCATGTGATGTGGTACCTGAGGGCCAGCCCTGTGCCTTCCCTTTGGCCAGAGCTCCCTGAACTATCTGTAGCTGCTTCCTGATGTCTGCTTTTATCCTGATTCTCAAGGTGCTTGGAACATTAGCCATTCTGGCATGGGTCAGGTAGGAGGGCAGATAGGATGGACCGGAGCTGGTATTATGACCTGGTTTACACATTCAGCATTGAGGCCTGAGGTCTGACTTGCTCTGCTCTGGCCCCTACACCCTTTTAGGCAGAAGAACATTTCCCCGAATACGGCGTCATCAAGGTAACCTGTTCACCCTGGTGCCCTCCAGCCGCTCCCTGAGCACAAATGGCGAGAACATGGGTCTGGCGGTGCAATATCTGGACCCCCGAGGGCGCCTGCGGAGTGCGGACAGCGAGAACGCCCTCTCTGTTCAGGAGAGGAATGTGCCGACCAAGTGTGAGGAGTGGGCCCTGGCCAGGGGGTGCTCAGATGAGCTGCAGGGCGGGAGGCCAGTGAGTCCACTGGGGCTGTCTGGGTCAGCAGCAGGCTAAGCTGGCCCATCCTCTCCACACTGGAAGAGCCTGTCAGTGGACAGCAGACCCCGCAGACCCTAGTCCTTGCTCCACGGTTGTGTGGCAAGCCATTTCCCCTCTCTGATCTTTATTTTTTCCATGTTTAAACTGAAGCATGGTCTCCTTAATCCCTGCCATATTATTTTGGGGCTTTGGAAGTATAGGTGTTTGATCAATGCAGAAGAGCATTTAACCATGAATTTAGCCAGTCCTGTGCTTCTCAGGACTCAAGCCTTAAGGTCTGATTGACCAGGGCACTGGGCTCCAGATGGGGGTGGAAATGCTGTGCTCAGATGTGATGGTGCCGAGTGAGGGGGAGCTCAAGTCAGAGGTCCAAGATAGAGCCTCTGGATAATGAAGCAGGATATCCATAAATAACATGACAGACTAAAGCTTCTTTCTTCTGTTCTCCTGTAGCTCCTAGTGCTCCCATCAACTGGCGCCGGGGGAAGCTCCTGGGCCAGGGTGCCTTCGGCAGGGTCTATTTGTGCTATGATGTGGACACAGGACGGGAACTTGCTTCCAAGCAGGTCCAGTTTGACCCAGACAGCCCTGAGACAAGCAAGGTACTTCCTTCCCCATGTTCTGACTTCTAGTTCCTCCCTCAACCAACTAAATGCCTGTTCTGGTGCACAGACTAATTGCTCAAGATGCTATAGGTTGCTTCCCCCATCATTCTTCCTCCCAAGTTCCCTTGCTGTCCACCCTGGCTCTGGCCATGGGGTGAAGGGACCATGGTCCAAAGAGCACCAAGCACCCAGGAGAGGGATTGGGTTATGAGAAACTGAGCTGATGGCAAAGTACCAGGCAACCCAAACTGAGGCAACGTCCAGTGCCACAAAGAGCAGCACCTGCTCCCTATCACTAACACACACCTCTCTCAGCCCAGGAATGAGCCTATTTTTGGAGTTCAGCTTTGAGTGTGGCCTACACTCTAATTTGAGTGGATAAATACAGCAGTTACCTTAACCAAGCACCCCCAACTCCTCCCACTCCACTGCCTGCCTTCTCGTATGGGATTGCCACCATCCCACGGGTTGCACATCATTGTGGCCAAGGGCCAGACAATTGAGAGAGTCCCCGTTTTCCCCAACTGAAGTTTTCAAGGCAAATAGACCCCTCTGTAGCCACTGACTAGGGCAAACTGAGCTGATCCCAGGCAGGCAGACTGGGGCCCTAAGAGCTGAGGTGACCACTAGGCCCCTCCCGTAGGAGGTGAGTGCTCTGGAGTGTGAGATCCAGTTGCTGAAGAACTTGCAGCACGAGCGAATTGTGCAGTACTATGGCTGTCTACGAGACCGCGCAGAGAAGACTCTGACCATCTTCATGGAGTACATGCCGGGGGTACGTGGCCTTGATGCATGTGAGACACACACGAGAGTGGGCCTGCGCTGGGGCTGGGCTTGCACAGGAGGGATCCCTTTGGCATGGGTCCGATCACCTAAGACTCCAGAGGCTCAGAGAAGGTGAGGTGATGGAAGGACTTGCGGTCAGGAGGGCCCTCCCTCTGGCAGTGATGGTGAGGGATGAGAAATGTCCTGGGCCACCCTCACCTGAGGCTTCCAGGACGGCTGCACTGTCCAGTAAGTACTGCCTTTACCTGTAGCAGAGGGGCCTCCCTTCTGGATTTGGGTTGTACATTGGTTGAGGGTAGGACTGTCTCAGACTTGTCTCTAAGCTGCCCAACAGCCCCTAGCAAAGCCCTCGGCCCATTGTAAGTGGAGGTTGGATGAAGCACTTCTTCGCTGCAGTGCTAGGGGCTGGAAATAGCCTTGCTGCCTTCCCACAGTGACTCCCTCTGATTTCTGTGGCTGTAGGGCTCAGTGAAAGACCAGTTGAAGGCCTACGGAGCTCTGACTGAGAGTGTGACCCGAAAATACACGCGGCAGATCCTAGAGGGTGTATCTTACCTGCACAGCAACATGATCGTTCACCGGGACATCAAGGGTGAGCATGGCCTGCTGCGGGGTCCCCAAGACCTGGTCACTTAACCATTCCAAAGTTGCTGAAAAGTGGGACCCTGATTGCTTCCTTGGGAGATTGGCATGAAGATCGGTTGAACAATTTGGGAAAAGACTGCAGAGGAAAGTGCTCTGCAGCATTGGCCATGGTGACAATCATTTCGTGCTATAGGGCCGAGGCTTGTGTCACTAGCCTGTTTGCCCTGTGCAGCTCAGTTCTAATTCGTGGTAGCCCTGTGCTCCCTAGTAGCCCTGTGACCTGGGAGGGAGGGACAGAGGGAGGGAGGTAGAGAAAGCCCAGCAGTTCCAGGGTTTTAGCCTTTGTCCTGTCATGCCTTAGGAGCCAACATCCTCCGAGACTCTGCTGGGAATGTGAAGCTGGGGGACTTTGGGGCCAGCAAGCGCCTGCAGACCATCTGCATGTCGGGCACGGGCATGCGCTCTGTCACCGGCACACCCTACTGGATGAGCCCTGAGGTGATCAGCGGCGAGGGCTACGGAAGGAAGGCAGATGTGTGGTGAGCGCTGCGACCATGCTGGGACCCCACCTCCCTGTCTGGGCTGTACTGGCTTCAACTTAGAAATGAGCCTTGGGGCTCGCGGTGTGGCAGGAGGGAGCGTCTGCCTCTTGGCCAGCTAGGCCAGGTTGCAGAGGTGGCGGTGTTTTAACTCCAAACTGTTATTGCTGGGAAGTTAGGCTATGGAAAACATCCCTGGTGTTTGCTAAATCCTAAAAGAAGTCAAATCCACTCTGAAGGCCTGGATCAGCTTCTGAATGGTAGCAGGCTCCCCGCTCCTAGCACTCAGACAGCTTGCATTTGCTCCGTTTAATTTCATGTCCATCCTCTGTACAAGCGTGGAAGCTGTGAGCAGCTCTTCCCCTTTGAACGTTCTTGCAGTGGGCTAAATGATAGTCCCTGAAGATGTCCATGTACTAATTTACCATTTGACCTACAAATGTGACCTTATATGACAGAAGGGCCTTTGCAAATGTGATTAAGAATTTTGAGGTGGGGAGACGATCCTGGATTATCTGAGTGGGCCCAGTATAATCAAAAGGGTCCTAATAAAAAGGAGAATCGAAGGGCCAGCTGAGTGGCTCAGTTGGTTAAGAGCTCGCTCAATAGTTTGAGCTCTGAGCAACAGCGGTTCGATTCCCGGCCCAAGCTGAGCAGCCGCTGAGCTGCCAACAGGTGGCAGAATGGCTCAGCTTAAAAAAAAAAAAAAAGGATCAAGATCAGAGTGGGTAGTAGGAGATGTGATAATGGAAGTGAGAGGTTGGAGTGATGCAAGGAAGGGGCCATGAGCCAAGGGAATGCAGGCGGCCTCTAGAAGCTGGAAAAGGCAAGGAAACGGATTCTTTCCTCAGAGCTTCCAGAAGGAACCATCCCCACTGAGAGCTTGATTTTAACCCAGTGAGACTGATTTTAGACTTCCAACCTCCAGAACTATAATAAATTTGTATTCTTTTTGATGCCACTAGGTTCATGGTAATTTGTTACTGCAGCAATAGGAAACTAATACAGTTGTCCTGGCACTCTTTATGTCCATGCTAAGTGGATGTCTTTCCCAGTCAAGAAGCACTGGGTGGGTATAAGTCAATAAAGTCCATGTGGACCATCTGACAGTGCTTCGAAGCCTCTTCTGGCCTTGGGGACCCTCTATAGGGTGTGAGCCCTAAGCTTGGCCCATCCTGCCTTAGTTTGTTCTGAGAAAGGCACCTCCTTTCACAACACTGGGCAGGGCAGCTGGGAGCTTGGGACCAGCCGTGAGGTGACATGGGGTTCTCTTTCTTCAGGAGCTTAGGCTGCACTGTGGTGGAGATGCTGACAGAAAAACCACCTTGGGCAGAGTATGAAGCCATGGCCGCCATTTTCAAGATTGCCACCCAGCCCACCAATCCTCAGCTGCCCTCCCACATCTCTGAGCATGGCCGGGACTTCCTGAGGCGCATATTTGTGGAGGCCCGCCAGAGACCTTCGGCCGAGGAGCTGCTCACACACCACTTTGCACAGCTCGTGTACTGAGCTCTCAAGGCCACGCTGCTGCCGGCCGCCCCTGCTGCGTGGGCCAGGGGCTGCTGTGGGGCTCAGCGAAGTTGCTGCTTTTCCCAGGCAAGGCTGTGGACCTGGAGCTGCAGTCCAGCCAGCGTTTGTCTGTGCCTCTTCGCCGCTGGAGCACAGAGCCAAGGTGGGGCAGCTGCAGCCTCAAGGACTGGAAGCCCCCAGCCTACCAGACCTGAGAGCTCCAGCCTCGTAAGCTCAGCGTGCAGGGGAAGGGGCCAGAACAAGTGTGCAAGGCGCTGTGGGCCCCGCCCTTGGGGCTGTGTCCTGACACTGCAATCAGCACCAGAGCCCCAAGGTCTAGGGGCACAGGATGGACATGAGGGTCCGAATAGTGTTACTTTCATTCAGAGTGTTATTTTGTTTCTCCTCCCCATGTCTGGAGATCACCGGGCATCTCGGCTAGATGAGCCCACCGAAGCCTGAGGTAAAAGCCCGGCATCCCGCAGCCAATGGAAGGCAGAGGCCTGGGCTGTGCTCTCCCTGGAGCTCCCAGGTCAGCTTTGCCAGTCCCTGTCCTTTACCAAAGATGAATGAAGCGAATGTTATGCTGCCTTATTCAGGGAAGGAGCAGCCCGTCCTGCCTGCCCTTGTGACCCTGCCTTCCCAAGCAGGGGCCTGAGATGTGGAACTGCCCCACTGAGGGGGCAGTTTTGTCAATGCAATGTCTCTGTTTTACAAGTTGGAGTCACTCTTATGCTGTACCCAGTTTCTAAACTGGAGACTGTGTCCCCCCTGGGCTCTGAGTACCCCTGCCGGCAATGTCTCTGTTTTACAAGTTGGAGTCACTCTTATGCTGTACCCAGTTTCTAAACTGGAGACTGTGTCCCCCCTGGGCTCTGAGTACCCCTGCCGGCAATGTCTCTGTTTTACAAGTTGGAGTCACTCTTATGCTGTACCCAGTTTCTAAACTGGAGACTGTGTCCCCCCTGGGCTCTGAGTACCCCTGCTGTGGGCTTTGGGCCTTGGCTGGATTGGAAAGAGCTGAAGGTAATGGCCTTTGTGCTCTTGGCCTGGCATCTGTTCCCCCACCGCAGCGGAAGGGAAGATGGACAGCACAGTCCTGGCCTCTGATCCAGCTGGCCGCCCCGCCCCCAGTAGGCTGTTCACGCTGGCCAGGGCAGTCCTATCGGGCTGTCTGAGTATGACCCTGCTAGGCCAGAGCCCTCTCCACCTGATAGAAGGGAGAGCCCCTTTGATGCCACCAACCGTGTCCAAAACCGCCAGCTTTGTTCCTCCTTGGCCAGCCTTGCCCTTCCCCACGAGGTCTCAGCCTCTTTCCCTTCTTGCTCCTCCCTTGGGGGGACAAGTGGCAGCAGGGGTCTGGGAGCCAGTATCTCCAAGCAGCTTAGAGTTGGCCTTATTTACCTCAGCCTGGGCGCTGGTCCTTTCTTCCGGCCCCTCCCCTCCAAAATGTGCCTATTGCTAGAGCTCCTCCCTCTCAACACCCAGTTTCCTTGGGAGTTGTCATTAAAGGAAAAAAAAAAAAAACCAGTGCCCAGGGATGGGCGTCTCCAGGGAGCTGGGGATTAGCACCAGGCAGCTCGTTGCTAGCCACGCCCACTTCCCCACGGCACCGGAACAAGCCAAAGCCTTCGTTGTATGTTGACGATGCACTTTTATGAATGTACAATAGTTTCTATCGCTGTTTTTAGCCTTTTCACATCATGTAATGTGAGGCCTTGTTACTTGTTAATTTATAGCTCAGATCATATTTGATGGTTTTTATATATATCACTTCTAGACTGTTACAGGTGATGGACGCCTCAAGAGAGAGAAGAAAATGAAAGCAGCTGGTTTTGCAGGAATGTGTTGCATGGTGCCAGTGGGCCCAGGCCCGTTTTCATCCTCTTCCCCCAGGGGTCTGTCAGGCACCCCCAGCCCAGCCCTAAGATAACGAGCATGTGCTCCTGCCTCCACCTCGGCCCTTGCCCAGGGTGGGGACCGGCCCCTCATCTCGACCAAAGCTGCCTCGTGGCAGCTCGGCCTCTCCACGACCCCGTCCTGATGGCTCCACCACTCTTCTTGGGCCTACACCCCTGATCTGTCCTGTTCCCTGAGAGGAAAGAGTATGCAGGAGCTGACAAGATGAGACGACTCTGTGTCCCAGGTTCAGGCTCTCACAGAGCCCCACCCCTCGGGGTCTTACCTCACAGGGAATGTTTTAAAAAACAAACGAATTTGCAAACAAGCCAACAAACCCTGCACTCCAAAAGAAACAAGACCCTGATTTTTTTTGTGCCAAAAACTGTGGACATGCTGGCTCAGCATCCTCAGGACCAAGCTGTTGCTTAATTTTAATTTATTGTTTTGTTTTTTTTAAATAATCCAGATGAAAAGTTGTGGGCTTAGATGGCCTGTGCCCAAAGGTTCTGAAGGGCAGTCACCTAGCAGCCCTAGGCTTGCTGTGGTAAGGGCCATGCGCCATTTGCTCATCATTCCGTGGGGTATGTTGGCCTTGGCCAACCCAACAGAGGTCAGGGCTGGGGACAGTCTGCACCCCACTGCCCCTCCCGCCCTCCTCAGCTCTGTGTTTGTGTCTGAATTGTGGATCGTGCAGAAGAACCTGCAGCCATACTTATTTGACTATATCTTGACCCAGGGCTTGCAGTGCAAAGCCAGGCCAGTGTTGCGCATTACTTACAATAAAAGGGATCATTTATACCTGGGGTCCTGTGGCAGTGCTTTTGGTTGGGGGGTGGAGGGAGTAGGTGCTTGCCTAGTGGGGACCAGGCATGGTGCTTGGGTCCCTCTATAGAGAACTTGACTCCAAGAGGGGTCCTGGGATGGGATGGTACCCACTGCTAGCTCAGGTGACACCCCCTCTTCTCCCAGGAGCTCCACTGAGGGTGGTCCTGTCTGCCCCAGGTGTCACCAGTGGCCAGGGTTCTAGCACCTCTGGGGCATCTAGTAGTTGTCCAGCCCAGGGAAGGGCTCCCTTTTGTCCCGTCCTTTCAGTGCAAGGATCAGATGCCTCCAGGAGCCATCTCTGGTACCTCCCCATAGCTTAGCTCCAAGCAGACAGTCCTTGGCCCCACCTGAAGCCTCTGGCACAGAAGTTGGGCCTGCCCTGAATGAGGCTCTCACAGGACCCACCCACTCACTCTCTGAACATTAGCTCTGCTGCTTCAAGAGGTACTGTCTACCTCAACACAGCACAGTGGCCTATCTGCCACCAGGGCTTGAGGCCTAGCTCCCTACCCTGTCCTATGGGCATGAGGTCATCACAGGAACTTTAGTAGTATGGGACAATGGTAGCAAATCCCCCAGGAGTCTGTCCTCTTGTTCCACCAACTTATGTATCTCATGGGCAATTTAGTATCAGGATAGTTGGGTCTGGGGCAGGACAACACAGACTTCTTGCCTGTATTCCCCTGGGGCTGGGGGAGGTGGGGTCTCAGGTCCTCCAAGATTGCCTTGTTTGTTGTCCCTCACAGGAGCAGACACGCTGTTTCTCCTTGGACTACCTGGGACAGTGACCATAGCTGTCCCACTCTGGAGCTTGAGAAAGGGTGAGATGACATGGGGAAAGGGCAGAGACAAGGAAACCTCTGATGGCACTTGCTGGATCTGCTGATTCTTCCCTCCCTTGCTGATTTCCAGGACAAAAGGGGCTCAGACAAGGACCCAGCCTTGCACCCCAACATAGTGAAGTGCAGCGAGGCCAGACACCATCACCCATTGATGGCCTGACCCTCTCTCAATTAACACAAGGCAGAGGAGCAAATGCATTTCAGCTATAAAACTAATCTAGGTTTGATAACATAGACCTGGCTGGGAAAAGGGACATCCCCTTTTCTCAGGCTGGCTGGTATTTCTGACATCCATCATCAGGCCCCCATCAAGATCAGGAATGCTCTAGCTGCCTGTCCCCCCTCTTCACCTCCACATGTTGAGGTCTGTGTCCTGCCACAAAGCCCCCCCATCAGGCCACATAATACAGAGTCAGGATCTGATGAAACATGTTTAAGATGGGGTTGATAACAACAGTCAGAACCAGCAGAAACAGGAGAACAGGGGAGCATGGCCACTGCCAGATCAATGCCAGTCTCTGTGGCTCTCAGCCAGTGCTTTAGCTTTTGCTGCTTGATGCTGGTGGTGCGAGATGGTCCCAAGCCCCACTGGGGCATGCCCTGCCTTGCCTTGCAGGGCTGTTCCACTTCCCCTCCCTTCCCCCACTGAGCCGTAGGGGACATTCTGTGAGGCCCAGCGGGGAGCACTCTGGTTCTCCTTCCTCCAAAGTCTCCATGGCTCAGAAACAGGCTAAGGGCAGAGGTAGATGGGGAGATATGGGGGCCACACAGGCCCCAGGTGGCAGTGAGGGAGCTTAGGACCCTGAGGGGGACATGCTGACTCCTTGCTGGAGAAAAGGCACCTAGATAGGGGAGCTGGGCTTCGGGGCCTCCCAGAGGGCCAGGGATGAGGTGGGGTAGGCTGAGAAAAGCAGGAAGCAGGGTGGTGAGCAACCCCCAATCCTGGTTCCCGAATCCCCACCCACTGAGGGAGAAGGAAGGAATCCTGGGACAGAGCCCTGCCCCCAACCCTTTGCCTGAGCAAGATGGTCTCATCCCCTCCCACCCCAGCCCAGGTCCAATCTCTTTCCCACCCTTCCCACCACCGGGCTCCAGGCCCTCTACAGAGGGAGTGGAGGTCAGAGAGGGCTCAGGCTGTCTTGGTGCCAGGGTCCACCTCCTTGTGGGCCCAGAGCTCCTTGTGCTGCTTCCGGCCAAAGCCCTCATCGTAGTTGCCTTTGCTCTTAAACAGCTGCTGGAAGTGGGGTTTGCAGTAAAATTCCCCGTGCAGAGCCGCGTAGCTGCCCAGGCTGCAGAAGCAGAACAACTGTGGTCAGGTCAGGTCAGGACTGGAAGGCGGGGGCGGGGGCAGGGCAAGGGCGCACCTCAGCTTGGTGTGACAGTGCTTGCAGCAGAAGCATGAGTTGTGGAAAATGAGCTTGTCTGCCACCAACCGCTCCATGGGGTACACGGTCTTCTGACAGGCTGCACAGGTCTCCTTTACCTGGGCCCGAAGGCTGAAGGACTATTGGGGGGAGAGACTCAGCTAGGGGCCTGACCAGCACCCATCCTTCCCTCTCCCAGCTTCAGGGTCCTACCTTGGAGCGCTGAACAGTGCTGCTGCCACTGCTGCCTTTGGCTTCCTGAGAGAGAGGGCCAGTTCAGAGCAGGGTCAGCTGAGAGATGCCCCAGACTTACGCCGTAGTCACCAGCCCAGATCCCAGATCCCAAAGGCACTCAAGAGGGGGCAATGGGTGGCAGGCAAACACACCACTGTCACCCCTTCATCCCCAGGCCAGACACCTGCCCCAGGTGTCTTCCCACCCAGATGATCACCTACATGAGAGGGGGTGGACTGGGCGGTTCCTGCAGCCTGGAACATGGCTGGTTAGAAGTGATGGAGGCCCGGGTGGAGACGCGGCACCCGCTGGGTTCTGCAAGGGGAAGTCTGTCGGTTGGGCCCCACAAGCCCTTCCCCAGCCTGCAGGGTGGGGGTGGGAGTGTTTACAAGCAGGGGGCTGTGGGGGCTGTGGTTGGGACTTTCCCTAAGTCATTTCCTGTTGCTCTGGGTCTTGCTACTTCCGCCCCTCACCCACCTTCTCCTCCCGCCCACCCCCCCATGCTGTTCCCCAAGGGGCTGGGGTCCCTGAGTGGAACCATGTGTCGGGGCAAGAACAGAGCTAGTGGGCAGGAAGAGCAGTTGGGGTGGGGACTCCGCGCAACCGTCGTAAGCGCCCCGCGGGTCCAGACCCCGCCCGGGGTAAGAAAGGTGAGGGAGGTCGGGAGAGGGTGGGCACGGCGGGGCCGTGGCGACAACCCGCAGCCCCTGCCTGACCCAGGCCCGATGCTGCCCAGTATTGGGCAGAGGCTGCAGGCGCCCCCAGCTCGGCCCAGCCCCTGGACAGCGCTCGCGGGCCGGGCCGCCGGTACGCCCAGCTTCTCGGCCCCTGGGCCTGCGCGGACAGGATCCCAGACCCAGGACCCCCGTGGGCCCAGTCTAGGGGGACTCGGCCCCACCCCCGCCAGGAGGCCTGCCCTGGAGGTCCCCCGCTGGCCTCCAGGCCCCCGGCGAAAGCGACAGGCGGAGGCACTCGGCGTCGGGAACCCAGCGCGGGAACCCTCAGCCCCCACCTCGGCGCCGGGGTTTACGAACCGGTTGCAGACCCCTCCCTGCGGCCGCCCGCCCGTGGGTCTCACCGGGCCCCGGCCTGGGCCGCGGGGCGGGAGATCGGTCTCCGTAGGGCGCCTCGGGTACGAAGAGTGCGCGGCCGCGAGCTGCCGCTGCTTGCCAGTGGTCCCCGAGCGGCCGCCGCCGCCACCGCCTTATCGCGGCGCCGCCCCCGCCGGCCCCCGCCCAGCGCCCGCCCATTGGCTCCGCCGCGCCCGGAGCCGCCTCCGGGGCCCCGGCGCCGCCGCCGACCCTCTATGTGCTTTGTCTTTCCCTCGCTCGCGGTCCCGCCTTTGTTTGCCGCCCCCCGCTCGGACCCGGCGCTCGCCGCGCTCGTAGGCCTCGCGAGGTCGGCAGCCCGTCGGCCCACTCCGAGCGAAGGCAGGGACCGGAGCCGAAGGGCCCCGCGCTGCATGCCTCGGGGAGGGGATGAATTCAAGTTGAGACGCCTGGGGTCACGGGACAAATGGCGCTCCTGGCGAGGGCCCTGTGGCAGTAAAGGAGAACCGGACAGCGCCTGGGTTTTTCGCTGCCTCAGTTTCCCCCGGTTGGCCCTCGCGGACGAAGGCCCGACAGCCCCTGTCCCCGCCCCGGGCTCTGTGGGTCCCGCAGCCTGATAGACCCCGCAGGGGCGGCCCCGCCCAGGGTCTGGCCCCTGCTCCCACGCCCCCTCGGGCCGCGGAGTCCTCCTGTCGCCAGGGGCAGCCCCGCGCGACCGCAGGGCCTCCGAGGAAGATGGCAGCGGCGGCTGGGCACGCGGTTCCGCCACACCTGGCAATCAGACCCGGGGAGGGCCTGGGGGTCCCATGTTCAGTCACCTTCCGCCGCCGGCTCACCTCGGGGACCAGCTTGCACGAGTGTTCTGTGGGACCATCACTTAGTGCCCTCTCCTGCGACTCCCAAAGCAAGGGGCCCAAGAAGCTACTGCCTTTGGTGTCATAGAGTATACCCGCTGTCCTAAAGCGTTTCTGTGGCTGGATGTTATGGAATTACCCCCAGTCATGGGGGGCACCCCCTTCAGGGAAAGGGATTTCCATCCTTCAGACAAGTACCCATTACCGCATTTAACGCAAGGGAAGAGGCCTAAAGATTTGAAGTAACTTGTTCCAAGTAACAGCTGGCTTCACAGCAGGGTTGGGTGAGAAGCCAGGTCTTCTGACCCTGGCTCCTTACTTCCTTGCCCCTCTGGCCAAGCCGGCTGCCGACAGCAGCTCCAACCCACAGCACAACAGGTCTGAGGCACACAGGTGGCAGAGGGCCATCACTCTCATGGAGGGGTAGAGCCTCAGTTGTGCGGGGTACATGTGGGGGTGGGGATGGGGGTGCAGAGTGCCTCCCGGATGGACCTCTGCTGGGAGGCTGGGAGCCCGCAGGACACCAGGGACTGCAGGGCTCTGTCTGACATCAGGCTGGAAGCTGTTTGGTGAAGCACAGCCCTAAACATAGCTTGTTCCCACACCGTGGCAGGAATAGAACTAGTGGCTCCAGAGCCCGGCCCACACACTTGTCAGGGAGCAGGACAGCTCAGCGCCTGCGCGCCTGGCAGGGGAGGGGGCTAGGCAGCGGGCTTCCCCAGCCCCCAGCTGTTCCCTGGGCTCTCAGTGCATCCACGCTGTGCTTTGCTTTTCTCCTTAGCTCCTGCTCCTCTCTAGAGGAAGGTTTGTGTTTGGGCTGAGCCACATGCAGGCCTATGGACTCCCTGGATGAGGTGTGTATGTGTGAGAAACTTCTAAAACTTCATGTGCATCTTTCCATACCTGTCATCATATTCTCAAAGGGGGCTGTAGGGATGCAAGAAAGGTGAAGCCCTCAGGGGCACAAGGAGCAAGGCTAGGCTGACAGCTGGGCACTGTCTGGCCACCCAGAGCCTGAGGCCCCCTTGCGCTGCCCAGGACAACTCTGTGGGCTGAACCACATGCAGGTAGCTTCCACAGTCAGCAGTTTGGGCGTTGAAAATGAACTGACAAGCGAGGTGAGAAAAGCCGTTGACAGGCCAAGAAACCCGCCTGATAATGGTGTTAAGAAAAGGGAACTTGAGGTTTAAAGGACAAAAATGAGCTGGGCAGGGGGAAGGAGGAGGGTTGGAAATAAATGTGACCTGGCCTTCTCACTCCATTTCAGGTCTCCCCATGCTACCTCCTGGTTGATGTTATTCCTTCCCCTCAACCCCTGTGTAACTGCCCAAACAAAGAACAGGGTTTTTTGTTTTTTGGGGTTTTTTAAACTGGTGATACAATTTCTGAGGAAAGGGAAAGTGAGAGCATTTGAGGGTTCAGAGCAGCTTCAGGGAAGAGGGCAGGGCACTTCCTTTATCTGACATTTGAAGAGCCTCACCCAGAGGAGGGCACCTCACCAGAGGGACTGGCAGGAGGGAAGATGCTGAGCTGGTGCACACCCGCTGGGAAGCACCATGGAGAAGACTGAAGTTAGAATCACCCCTGGCCCTGACTCACTGGCTGCCAGCCAGGATGACAGGGCAGGGGACCCATCTGATTCTTAGGTTACCTGCTCTTTGGATATCAGTTCCAGTGGTAAGGAGACAACTTATGTTACAAAACAACACAAATCATGTTACAAAACAAAACCCTCCACCTGCTTTCCTGCCAAGTGAGCGTCTTCTGCCTGGACTCCTAGTGGCCCAGAAATAGTCCTGTGGAGCGGCTGTCTGCAGTACCTAGCTAGACCTTTCCAGCCCCAAAGTGGTTTGACGGCCACAGGCTAAAAATAATAGTCTCAAAAGTTTAGATAGGTAAGAAACTAATCACCTGGGTTTTAAAAGAAATTGGTGTGTTGTAAGGCTGTCTAATGAAAGTGGTCATTGCTGTGTTTCCACGAACACTTGTGGGACCACTCGGATGGCAGAACCCAGGGCAGAATAACTCATGTCTGAGCCTGTATGGCTAACACACAACAATGCCACTCTCCAATGGATTCTCTGAAATTTTTAATTTGTTCTGGTAATAAAACTAACACAGCATAAGGACTTTAAGCCCTCTGGCTAGACAAGACATTATGGCCTTTGGAGAAAGCACCAAGGCAGCTGGCAGGAGGTGGTAAGATGGACTTGGTGGGAAAGAAATGCACTACACAGATGAACTATGGGAAGGTTTTAGGTGTCAGGGCCGAAGCGATAACAGAGATAAGGATGAACTGCCCCAGCCATAACCTGGGGCTTAAAAAGAGAAAAATACTCTTCCCTCTAGTTATTAGGGAGAGGTCAGAGGGAAGGGAGTGAAGGTTGCTTATTGTTTGCCCCTCCATGAACCTACAGAATCTGAGAGCACAGAAAAAGAACAGAATTTGGCTGATAGGAGAGCAAGAGTGGGAAGAGGAAGTCACAGTTTCCTGTGTCAACGGGTTAAACCCTGGGCTTGAACTTCAGCCCTCAGGGCCAGAACAGCATCTCTTCCTTCTGAAGAGATCGCCTGAGCTCCCAGGGCTGAGAATGTCAGCTTTCTGGCCCCTCCCAACCCCTGGCTGTTGGGATTCCCTGGTGTCTTATAAGCCTTGGAGCAGTTTCTCTCCAGGAATTTCTTTCCCTGTCAGTAAGCAGGCAACTCTCCCGGCAGAAATGTCCTTTCTACCCAATCTGCACCCAGAAGGGTGGGAATGTGGTCAGCCCTCAGGAAGGGCCCCCGGAAGCTCACACGTCCCCGCTGGAAAATGTGCACCTTCTTCAGAGGCTCAGAATTCCCAGTCGTCCACCTCCAGCTCTTCCATGTTTGTTACCAGGCCAAAGATTCCACTGTGATCCTGAGACTGGCTGCCCTCAAAATTGGTGATGGGGGTGACAGGACGAAGTAACTCTGGCAAAGCCTCTGAGGCGCGTCGCTTGATCTGGGGGAGGAGAGAGAGTTGAGGGTGGACTTTGTTGCTCCTGATCCCAGGACGCCATGGGGGCAAGGAACCATGCGTGTCCCAGTGACAGATGGGCCGTTGGAATCTCTGAGAGAAACAAGCAGTGCCTTTAAGAGCCTTCAGAAAATGGTCAATTCTCTCATTTGAAGAGAGGAGAGAATACCTAAAAGCCCAATGCTGAAGGGATTGGGGGAGTTAGAGTCACAGGCAAGAAAACAAAAACAAAACGGAACCTCACAAAGTGCTTGCTACTGTACCTGCTTGAAAAAAGAATGGTTCAGGAGGGTGCTGGCACTTGGTCTGCAGAGAAAGGGGAAGAGAGATCATATCACCCCTGTGCCCTAGATTTCCCAAATCCTGCTGCTTACACAGTACCCTCAAGTGCCCCTCTACTTCTTCCCTCAGCTCCCCAAGAAACAGGAGCCAGAGCTACTCAGGCTGGCTTCTTAGCAAACCCTCGTGCTGACCCCTCTTGCTGTGGGGGCTGCACGCCCCTCCGGGGAACCCAGACTTGTACAGCACAGAGGCACCCTCTCAAGCCCTGCCGTAAACTCTAGAGCCCCCTCTGCTTCTCCGAGAGCCCACTCCCAGCCCAGTGGAAATACCTTACATCCGGGTTGCGCTGAAGGCACTGCTCCACAAAGTGGTGGAAGTGGGGGGAAAAGGTGCGGTAATAGGGGTGGGAGGGTGAGTCGCCATTGGAGGTCCTGGAGGTGCTGGTGGCCAGGCTCTCGCTCAGGCCAGAGTTGGCTGCTGAGCGCAAGGTGCTCATGGTCAGCTCCTCGGCGGGGATGGTGCTGGTGTCCAACAGGCAGGGCACCGTGCCATTCAATTTCTCCAGCAGCATCTGCGGAGAACACAGCCAGGACTGGGCTGGAGGGGGACCCTGGGAGACCTACTGCGTTGCTTCACAAATACTCTTTTCCCAATATATAAATGTGATGGGGGGGAGGGGAGGAAAAACAGAAGTAGAATAAGTAACTTTTCCAGAGGAATGCGGGCCACTGGCTTGGCAGCCACACCTGAGCTAAGCCAAACTAAAGAAGAGGAGAGGGACTACAAAAAAGTGCCCCCCTTCACCACAGCTGGAAGGAAGGGGCACCCGGTCTCTCCTCTCCCCTTTATAAGGCATCAGATCCTTTTAAGTGTAGCGCTCTCTCCGGAGGATGAAGGCAGCAGCTGGGTTACTGTCTTTGAGGCCCAGCCCCAATTTGCCAAGCCCAGGTGCGACTAATGGGGTCCATTAGGCAGCACCTGCAGTGTCGCTCTGAGTGGTTGCTGTGGCAGGCTGCACAGGAGCAGTGCTCCCAGGGGCAGGCCACACTTGGGCAGCTATTTGAAAGCCCTCAGACCGAGCACATGTAAAACCGGCCCCATTTTGGCAACCGCTGTCAAGTCCCTGGGAATTGTTCTGTCCAAACCAGAAACCTGGAAATCTCTCTCTAGAGCTTTGATACTATGGTAGCCACTAGCCACAAGTGGCTATTTATACTTGTTAATTTAAATTAGGTTTAAAACTCAGTTCCTTAATCTCACTGGCCACATTTTAAGTGCATAATAGCCACAGCTGGCTAGTGGCTGCCGTACTGGAGAGCACAGATGTAGAACATTTGCATCATCTCAGAAAGTTCTATAGGACAACACTGCTTCTGGCTCTGTACCGCTCATTCACCTTGACTGGCCTTTTAACTCATTCCTGAGCATCTCTCTATCACTGTCTTATTTAGGTTTTCTAGATTCCTAACCTAGATTTCCACACCTTCCTAGATCTCATCCACCTGCCAGTGATCTTTCTAAAACATGTATCTGATGTTATCACTCCTGTGCTTAAAAACCTAGCAGTTCCTCACATGCTTTGGGACAGGAACCAAATGCCTTGGCATGGCACATAAAGCCCTCCGTGATCTGTCTGCCTCTGCTTCCTCCTCCAGCCACATCACCCAGTGCCCTACCCCACACACCTTCACTCCAGCCATTTACCGCTATTGCCCAGACCCTGTTCTTCCTTTACTCTGGATCTTTGCACATGCTGTTCCCTCTGCCTAAAAGAGTTTCCTCTAGTTCCCGTTCTTCAGTTAATTCCTATTTGCCTCCTCCCAGAAGCCTCTCTGGGCCCCTGCTCTAGAGAGTTCCTCTCTGGCCATGCTCTCGCTGCTCTCCTCCCAATAGGGCAAGCAGTCTGTGGGTTCAAGGGAGAGGCTCACTCAGAGCCTGCACACCCACCTGCACTCCCTCCCAGTTCTAGATCATGTTCCAGGTACCTTGCCCCAACGACTCAAGTCCACAGCTTGGACTTCATAAGGCCTGGATAAGCCTCTTCCCTGGGTCTATCTCTCGAGGGTCGACAATGCCACTGGCTGGGTACACCTAGAGGTGGCCAAAGGGCAGTCAGGTAAGGGACATGAACAAAAGTCTGAGAATCTAAATTAGAAACTGGCCACCCACATATATTTATCAAAGTAGGAGGACAGAACATATTTTATACATTTATAAAAATGTGTGAGCTCGGTTTGTTCATTTTAAAGAGACGCCTGGTGTGTGGGCCTCCCTCCGTTTGCACTCCTGCTCCAGGCCCTGCAATCAGTGGGCCTGCTCCTGAGCGTCCCTCCCCAGGCTCCGTGGGCTCCATTTCCACAGCAGTCATCACACAGAGAAGTCAACAGTTATACAGCCATATCCCCACTGGGTGGGGCTCTTGAAAAAAAGGACTGTGTCTTTCATCTGAGTATCCCAGGCCAGTGTCCTGAGTGGCAGGTACTCAACAAGCATTTGTGGCGGGCAGGCAGGCAGGCAGGCAGGAAAGCACTGGGCTGCAGGCTCACCTGGGTGGCAGGCATATCCTTAAAGGGGACATGGCCGTTGGCCAGCTCACAGGCTGCGATTCCCACACTGTAGATGTCAGATTTGGCATCATAACCCTGAAGATTCTAGGTTGGGAGAAAAAAAGCCACAGATCACTCCATCTGTAGCCTTGGTGGTGGTTCTTAGAAAAAGAAGGGGCTGGAGCAAACACTGAAGATAGGAAAAGAATCCCTGTTCCCAAATCGGGGCCAGCTGCTGAGACTTTCCTTGCCTGCATTACCAAAGAGCAGCTGCTATTTGAGAAGGAACGACTGTTGGTTGATGGACTGGAACCAGCAGGGAGCAGTGTGCGGGCCGCATGCTCCCGCTTGGTGCAGGGATGGAGAGAGCACCACCTCTTCCCCAAGGGCTCATTTCCCATAAGATGGGAAGGCTCTGAAGGGAGCCAAAGAAGGCAGGTTGGGACCCCACGGAGGGGGGACTGCATCTGCAAGGAGCACACAGTGCCCAGGCCGAGAAGCCGCCCAGGTCTACCTGCCAAAAGGTACCCTTCTTCCACTCAGAAGCAGAGAGCACCCCCATCCCAGGAAATTCCTGAAGCCTGCCTTGGCAAATCCTGAGGTGCGGGGATGGGGCTCCTCGGGCCCCAGTACACACCTGCTGGAGGACCTCCGGGCTGAGCCAGGGCAGAACCTTGATACTGTACTTGGGGAAATCGTGGACCACACGTTGCCGCTGCCCATGGCTGATCATGCTGAGGTTGCTGCGTAAACCAGAGAGGTAGACCTTCCCTTCCGCAGAGATCAGGATGTGGCTGGCTTTGACACTCCTGGGGAGGGGGAGGAGGGGCAGGGGAGGGTCATAGGGAGCCACAAACCTTTGGTCTTCACACACGAGATCCAGTCAGCTCTCCCCCTGGATGTGTGTGTGTGTGTGTGTGAGATACATGTATACACACATATACATATTTTTATAGTTTCAAACATACACACAAAAAAGAAAATAGTATGACCCTATTTACATATCACAAGATTTTAAAACTTATTTCTATTTTGTTACCGTTCTTTTATGCTCACAGACCACTGCTTCCCCTACTACCCACTCATATTAATTTGTACGTTTTGTTTGTTCTTGTAAAGTTTATCATTGTTTTGTATGCATATACTTTCAATTTACCTAATGCTACTGTGTTATGCATCCCATTCTTCCTTTTTCTCAGTGCTGTGTTTTCAAGATCCATTCTTGTTGCCCTCTGTGTACATCCCATCTTTGCTTCTAATTGCCTCCTATACTATGGGGAGGGATCGGACACTTTTACTCATCCATTCTTCCGGGAAGGGACACTCACACTGCCTCCCACCATGAATATGAACAACGATCCATACGTGTCTCCTGATGGGCCGGTGTGAGGGTTTCTTTGGGGTGTACGGCCAGCGGCAGCACCGATGACCCCGGCTTCACGTGACCCTGACTGGCTGCCTCGAGCCACCTTCCGCTATATCAGGGGTCGGCAAACAGCGGCTCGCGAGCCATATGCGGCTCTTTGGGTACGTTCCGTCTCAAAAGTTTGCTGACCCCTGGAAGAGCCAATCCTGTCCCTCACAACAATTTGAAAATTATTCGAGAGCCATAAATATATTTTTACAAATAAGGAAAACTTAAAGTAATATTGTAAATGAAACTATGATAGTTTTATTTTCATTTTCAATTTTACTTCAGAGCCAAATGTAGTACCCAAAGAGCCGCATGTGGCTCGCAAGCGGCAGTTTGCTGACCCCTGGTAGCTCTTCCGCCTCAAAAGTTTGCCGACCCCTGCACTATATAGTCAAGAGACCCCACTCTCTCACCACACTGGGTCTCACCCAGCCTCCAAATTACACCAGTATCCAGTGTATAAGGTGACATCCTCCTGTTTTCATTTGATTTTCTGATTACTGCTAAATTTGAGTGTTCATATGACAGTTGCTCTTTTATCAACTTCATATCCTTTGCTGATTTTTCTATTGCTTGACTCTCCTCTTCTTGTTGATTCACAGGATTTCCTTGTTACTAATCTCCTGTGTGTTTTAGACAAAGGTAACATCTTCCACACTGTCACCCATTTCTTAACTTTGTTTAAGGAATCCTTTATTGGAGAGAAATCTTTAATCTTGATAGAATCAAATCCATCAACTTTTTGTCTTATGTTCTGTGCTTCCAATATTTAGAAGTCCTCCTAAGTTTGTAGTTTTACAGCTGACATTTAGGCCTTTAATTCGTCTGAAGAGCTCCTTTGTATGTGGAGTTAGGTAGGGGTCCAGTTTTATAATCTTCCCTACCATGAGCCGCTTTTCCTGACACCATCTACTAAGTAATCTGTCCCTTCCCCAGCCTCTCAGCGTAGGGTCGACTCTGGGGCACACACACCTGTTTGAGTGCCCCAAGGAAGGGAGGTTCATGGCAGATGTTCCTCTTACACAATACTCAGGGCCAAGCTGCTCAGTAAAGAGAAAGTCAGCAGCTTCAGCTCTGACAGGCCAAGTGCTCTGTCCACCAACTCAGAGGCGAGGGCCGTCCTGAGCTTTGATTTAGACTCCAGCTTCACTAACTTCAGTCAACCTTCCGCCGTTAATCGAGGGCTCATGGGCACAGACCCCGGCTCTAGGAAAGGGTGAGTAGGCTAAGAACGCACCTGTGTACATGTCCCATGTGGTGGACATAGTCTAGGGCCTTGAGCACCCCCTGCAGGATGTAAGCGATGGCCAGTTCATTCATGCCATCCATGAAGTGTGTACAGATGAGATCCTTTGCAGATCCTTGAAGAAAAGAATTGTGGGGAGATAGGGGAGGCTAACAGAAGGACAACAGCACATGAGCCAGCAGACAACAGAGTTCTTAGAACCCCTCTCCGCCAGGACCCCTTTCCCACTCACCATATGCCATGAATGATGTGACAATCCACAGCTCGTTGTCTGCAATAAAGGTGGCTCGATATGGCAGGATGTTGGGATGGTTGAAGAGTTTAGAGACATGAAGCTCCCCCTGAAAGCAATGGTAAGCTGACATCAGAATCGAGGGGCAATGAAGGATGATGCTCTGCAGGAAGGTGGCAGCACAAATAATACGGGGACCTAGTACATTCTGGGTGCTCTTCGCAGAGTCCTGGGAGCAGCTTAAGCAGGCGCCCCCGAGCAGGAGAGAAAGCAGGCTGTGTTATCTCTGTAGAGAAGCCAGCACTGCTTTGCCAGCTTCTGCCAGTCTGGTTCTGCCAGCCAATCCCAGAGAGCCTCCAGGGACAAGCCCCGCCAACAGGGAAACTGCTAATACCGCACAGGACCCCAGCTCGCCACCTCGGAGATGATGGAAACAAACTGTTGATTGAAGACATGATGTTCTAAGCTTAGCTTAACTTCAAGGCACAGAACTACTCTTTAAGATTAAAAAAAAAAGTTTTCCTCTCTAAAGGAAAATATTGTAGTCAATAGAAACAAGGGAAGAAAATATTTAAAGAACGAACAACAACTACTAAATATTAGAAGATATTTCTCCAGGTTGAGAGATCTCTTCTTTAGGAGCAGCTACAGAAAGTGTAAGACCTACAGGATTTTAAAATAAACTTGGACAAAAGATGTGGAAAAAATTGGACAAAAGAATAGAAACTCCAGGATCCTGGACTCTGGGACGTGAGCTATGGCTAAACAGGCAGTTCCTGGCTACCTGTCCACTGCTCTACAGAATAAAGCGAAGAATCAGAAAGTCCAACATGCTCTAGAACAAACTCAGGTGTGTTCTTTCCCAAATAACTAAGGACCGACTTTCTGTCCCATCCTCAGACCCACAAAACTACTCAGAACATGTGAACTGGTATTCGAGCACCGTGAGAGTAGCATAAATTCTGAAAAACATCGTGAATGAAGAAGAGAGAGGGGCTGCAACTAACGGAACTGCAAATACGCTGACCCAGGCCCTAACTGGAAGGGGTTCTCAGTGCACGCCTTCATTAGTTGGGGACTGCAGTCCCCAGCCAGCGACTAGACCTGCAGTCTCTCGCAGTGGAACAAAAGGGCAGCTACTTGCTTCTCCAATAGAAAGAACCTCAGGCAGATAGGACGCTAAGAGCTGGAAGATGTCCACGCATGGCAGGGCCGGACTGCCTGGGTTTGAATCCTGCCTCTGCCACTTACTAGTGAGTATGACCCTAGGCAAGTTACTTGGCCTCTCTGAATAATAAATAAATGCGGCCCACAGGGGTCTCTGGAGAAGAGGGGACTACAGATTGGGCTGAGCGGCATTACGGAACACTTAATGTGAAATGCCCAGGATTCTTCATTGAGAGCTTCCATAACGTCTTGGCGTGGTCCACCTTCATTTCCTGCCATCTACTTTCAAAAGACAGATATAAGAGATGCCTTGGAATAGTACTGGAACTAAAAGCCCACTCTTCAATTGTCACATTTGCACTTTATTACCTGCAAGAACGTCACCATATCATTGGAACAAGCTTCTAGGTTAATTCTTCGAACCGTCACATATTCTCCCGTTGGTTTGTACCTTGCTAGATTCACTGTCATCAGGTCCTCAAATCCTTTGCCTAAAAGAAAAGAGGGATGCATAAACAAGGACAACATCTACAAAGACTTTTTCTTCCTTAAAGACACTTGATTTAAAAAAGAAAATTCAAGTTAAAACTTTCGCTACTGTTACTTTCCATGGCTGACATTTCTTGATTCTTCTCCTATCGGTTCCTTCTCAGCCAACCATTCTGACTATGGCCCAGGTGTTGGGAAGGGGCCAGGAGAGCAGCTTCAGACTCTCAGCCTCACATAGAAAGGCGCTGGCTCGGTTATTAGATGGCCATCAGCTGTAACCAGTTGGCCATTAGCACTATTGTTTTGCATATAACTGCTGCAGCTGCGTTAGCAAGAGCAGGTGCCCGGGATGGTACAGAGCCTACAGATCCTACTTCCTTCTCACCCTGCCTGCCAGCGAGACTGTGGTGCAGGAAGACCCCTTGTTGGGGTATTGACAGATGTTTGCTTCTCGTGTCTCGACCAGCCGTCATCGAGAATATAATACAGTGGTATGAACCCCCTATCTGTGGCTCCGTTGTTGTTCCTTTTCGGCCTCACCGAATCCTGCATTCATCTGCTGGGAGCTGAGCCCCAGCATGACACCAGAACACCAGAAGTGTAGACAAAAAGAAAAAAAATTGCAAAAGGGCTCCTTTCCTGATAACATGATCTCTTTTCCATACTTGGAAGAAGAAAACTGACAAAGACCCACAGAAGCCCGTTCTGTGACTACGATTCCTGCTAACTAGCTGACAGCCTCTGACACACAGTCATGTGGAGATGTGGGGGGAGGTGCAAGAGTCCCCTGGAGCGTAAAATTCATGATAGCCCTGGACTTTACCTATGATGGTGAGGAGCTCATAACACCCGCCTTCCGGCAGAAAGCTACTCATGATCTCCTGTTTAGAGAAGGATGCTATCGACTCTGAGCTCGCCTCATTGGTCTAAAGAAAAAAAGAAAAACAGGTTAGTAAGAGAAAATGGGGGGTGGGATGGGAATGGGGAGGCGGTAATTCAGACCCACGGGGAGACTGGCATCTAAACGAACAGAAATTCTGACTCTGGGGCAAAGAACTAGTGCCAGCATTCTTTAATGAGAAATGCAAAGGAAAACATCAGATGTTCAATGTGGCCATAGCACTAATATCAGAGCAAGTGTCAATGTATCTACAAACGGGTGGGGGACAAGGGCCAGTTGCAGGCAACTGTTGATTTGCTTGTGATTTCCAACAGCTGGCTCATTTGCTAAAAACTATGAAATTCTTACATTGGGAAAAGCATGTCTGGAGAAAGGCACGTTTAGAAAAAGAGAGAGGGGATGGAGAGGTGGAGAGTTCTCTTGCATTTCCTGCTACATTAGAGTCCTGTTTATAAGGTCCTACCTACAAGATCCCAAAGGTCAAATGCTGCATCTTGCTATAGGGAAAATGTAGCCATAAGAAGCTCCACCGCCCCTACCCCCCCTTTAAGCAAACCAAGACCCCAGACCAATCATTCCCTGACATTTCCAAGGGAAGCAAGGAAACAGCCAACACACTGGGCTGCAGGCGAGGAACAGAGCTGTCAGGTCTCAGGCATCATTCAGGGAGCAAAAGTGACCTACTCCCGCGTTCCTGCCCATTCATGCTGCAGATAAAGCTGGATCCTGGCCACTTAGGATGTGGGCGTCACACTTCTGGCCTTGGAGGTCCTGAAGGAAAGTGCCCAGCAACATACATGGCAGACCAACCGCTCTTCCTTCAGTTTAATAGGCTCAGTTTCTTTCTTCCAGACCTAAATTTATTTGTATGACTTAGGGACTGTGTAGTTTTCTGAGTATTTTTCTTTCTTTTGGATCCTCTTTCTTTCTGGGTCTACCTGAAATGGAGACTCTTAGGCCAGCTGACGTTTCACATACTGCATTCATGAACCTGACCTCTAGTCAGGAAAAGGTCTTTGTGAGGGCATGAAAGCCTCTTGGCTGAGTGCTAACCAAGAGAGTGTGAGGTGAGAATGTTCTGACATGGTCGTACCACCTTGTAGGGAATCCCTGATGTTTTAAGGACATCTGTTTTTGAAACAATTGATGCTGCCAATGGGGAAAGAAACCAAGTGGGGCTCTGCCTCTCCTACCACTTGGTGACAATAAGACAACCTAGTCAAGCAAAATTGAATTTTGTCAGTAAATCATAGTTCTAATTGAATCAATTTTTTTATTTCTAAGATTCATCTGTACTGTTGTATTTGGCCATGTTGTACTCCCATGTTATGTAATATTTCTTATCTGTTTATCCATTCCAATGGTGATGAGCTTTTTGGGTTGTTTTTTAGTTCTGCTATTCTGAACTGTGCTACTAGAATCATGTTTAACTGTGTCTTCTGATGCATATATGCGAGAGTTACTCTAAAGCTTAAACCCGTAAGTGGAATTGCTAGGTCACAGAATATATGAGCAATTGACTTTATGAGATAATGCCAAACTGTTTTTCAAACTGGTTATACCAATTTACACTCCCACTAGCAAAATATAGGTATGTTCTCACTGATCCATCTTTTCCCCAAACTTGGTGTACTCAGACTTAATTTTGGCCAATCTCATTGTGACTTTGATTTACATCTCCCTGATGGTTAATGAAGTCAAGCATCTTTTCATGCATTTATTGGTCATTTGGGTTTTCCCCAAGGTGAAAAATGCTTCTTTTTGTCTCCTGTTCATATATATATATATATATATATATTTTTTTTACATAGCTTCTTTTTATTGAATGTTTCAAACATTTAAGCCAACATTTAACTATAGATGACATGGAAGGGGTTAAGAGTATAATTAGAAATCTTTAATTTTGTAAGCTCCCATTCATTTTTGTATAGAGTTGTTTTAATGTAGGATTTCCCCAAACTAGGCCCCATAGAACACTGAAACTGGCAGTTAATGCATGAAAGAAGTTTACACGTCCTATTAAGTTAGAAAATGCAGCATACGCTCGTGTAAAATCACAAGGTGTACTTGAATGTTAAAGCTTCGAGAAGTTCTGTCGTAAGAAAACTTGATTAGCTTTGTTTAACCTAGCATTTACCAAAGATAGGTGCTCAGAGATAGGTGCAACCTTGTGTGCGTAACGTCTGTTAAATTTTGGGAAAGGCTACTTTAAGGAAAACATATGGTATAATGCAAAGACCAGAGGCTTAGGGGCCAGACAGAGGCAGAACTTGAACTCAGGTCTATCACATGTTCTGTGACCCTGGGCAAGTCACTCTAACCTCGTGGGATCTCCTGTTATCTCATCAGTGGAATAATTCCCACTCCATAGGGGTGTTGTGACAATTAAATGAGATATGTAACGAGCCAGCCCTGCCTGGTGTATCACAGATATTCAATAAATGGGAATCCTCCCTCTTTCACTGTCGACTTTTTGGTCACTCTCCTGCTCAACAAATAAGATGGAACAGAGAGTCCTAAGTTGAGTTTGATCAATAGTTAAGGTTGGTTTGATTTTGGTGTTTACACTTGTCAGGGTTTTCAAATGCTCTGGAAACAAATTTAGGGTCATTTAATAGCCACTGTAGCTTCTGGAAACTATCTTGTCTTCAAAACAATCTTATACTGGTTACTACATGCCTCACACAGGTGAGAGAGCTACACAATCAAGGGGCCAAATGGAGTAGTGATTTGAGCAAAATGCTTAAACCAAGAGCTCTGGACTGGTGACGATGCCCCATTTGTTTAGCATTTACAAGCTGCATGCTAAGTTAATCTTGACGAGTCCCATCTTCTAGACTCTTGTATCTCCAACCCTCTGCACATATTCTTGCTGTGCAGATCCCATGTTCTCAAGTACCATCTACTCCTCAATAAAAATCAGTGTCACCAGTTAATACAAACCCAGGGGGTTGCTTTCAGACCCAGCTCCCCACTCTGGCCTGTGAGTACCCACGTGCTTTGGCCCCTGCTTGCTTCTATGACTTCACCCCATACCACCCTCGCCTGACCCATAACCCTTGAGGCTCCAGTCTCAGTTGTTTGAGACACTCCTGCCCTGCTTCTCCCCTGCCCCTGCCGTTTTCTCATGGCTATTTCCTCCTTATCACTGAGGTCTCAACTTAAATGTCATTTATTCACTGAAGACTGTCCAGCCAAAGTAACATCAGCTCCTAGTTACTTTATTAATCATCTTGCTTGATTTTCTTCACAGTAGGTATCAGTGCAGTTCACTTATCTATTGCCTGCTTCCTCTACTAGAATGCAGGCCCCTTGAGGGCACGGATCTTGGCCATCCTGCTCACTGATGTATTTCCCCAATGCCTACACCAATCCCGGCACATACTTAAAAAAAAATCACGTAAGCAAAGTTTGACCTGAGGAGGTTCTCTGCCCATGGCCTCGTCATTCCCGTGGGCTGAAGAGGAGAGGAAGGTCAATGTACCAGCTAGTTCCATTGGAGACAGGGTTCAACATAATGATCTACACTGGAAATGCTGGCCCTCATACAACACATCCACTAGGGGAACTTTATAGATCAGAATCTGATACCTGCATGTCAGAAAGTACAGCAGGTCCTCAATAAGATCGTTTTGTTCAACATCGTTTTGTTATAACATTGATGAGATAGATGCTATAGGAATTAACTTGTTTATATCAAGTAGCCTATGGTAAAACTGGTTTTATTATGCATCATTTGGCTTAGTCTCAGAACCTGTCGGCAACGTTAAGTGAGGACTTACCGTACTGCAGTTTTTAGCAGGTAACAACATGGCCCCAAATGAGAACAAATCTGTAGCCACTCTGTATTTGAAGGTCTCCTCTCCTCTGATCTCCAGGCAAACTCCTTAATGTTTCTCTAATTTGAATATGACGGGCAGCTGGTGTTCTGAGATTAAAATACTTATGTGCATTTTATTTTATTTTATTTTTTTAGCTGAGCCATTGTGCCACCTGTTGGCAGCTCAGCGGCAGCTCAGCTTGGGCCGGGAATCGAACCGCTGTTGCTCAGAGCTTGCACTCTTGAGCGAGCTCTTAACCAACTGAGCCACTCAGCCGGTCCTATTATATGCATTTTAAATAACTCCCTTTGGAAAAACTACAGATAGATACTGTTCTATTACCTATATCCCTCTTCCTTGCTAGGAGTGCATGTAAGACATACTGTCTGCCAGGATACACACTAAAGGCACTCTTGTTGAGCCAAGTTGGGAATGATTCATTAAACTACTTGTGTGATTAGTTAATAACTTGACAAATATTTCTACTATTATTGTTGACTACAGAAAACCACTCAAAGGTTTTAGAAAATGAAATGCTTTAGGTAGTTAGGAATATGCGTTCTTGGGCAATCTGAATTGCATGATGGACTAGTCTAGTGGTTGCTGTGGCCCCTCTACCATTCTGTCCCCAACCCCCTGGAAATGGTCCTAAAATGGCAGCTTTCTACTTTGTGGATGTTTTGTAGGTTTGGACTCAGAGAGAAACCGACCTTTACTGAGGAAAACAAACAAACAAAGGCGATCTTTTGAAAGAAGAGGTCTGGTCTGATATTGCCACAAGCAAGGCAGGTTAGTTCATTGTATTGTTTCAGACTTAGAAAAGGTCAAAATTCAGGTGGAAAGGATGAAATATTTAGTCCATTCTCTTTAAACACAGCATGGTATAGTTTTATTAGTACAATGTATAATCTCAAATTGCCTAGAAAAAGAAACTAATTTTATGAATGTCTTTTCTCAGTTTCCCTCACCATGAAAGCATTTTAATCATTTTTGAAGCATTTGAAAACTATAGATGCTACTGATATCCAGAAATGGCCACAAAAGGATATCTTTGTTTAAAGAGTTCAAAACAAAATATGGTAAAGCACACAAAGACAACATTATGAAATGCTACCAAACAAACACATTCAAACCTTCCACAGGTTTCACACAGGATAACTTTTGGTGTAACACCGACAGCCGTGAAAATATAAAAGTTATACATAATTGGCATTGTATTCTGGAAAAATACCTAATTGATATTACACGTTTTTGGTCTCCTGACTGGAAAATATTTGGATCTGACAAAGAGGTACCCCCGACTAGCAGGCTATTTATAAGCACAGCCAAAGCTTTACTCTGAGAAATTCCTAGTCAACATGATCATCCTTCACTCAACCAGGGGCTGCCTGCAAACATGCAAATGTCTGTCATCTGATTAGAGTAGGAAGTCTATTTAGAAAAAGCTTCTTACTCTCTCTCTTTATAAGACACTAATTCACAGGATCAAAACTAGCTTGGTACGCTGTGCACGTCTGTTGTTATCTCCTTAGGTAAAATAAACTAGAGGAGTAGAAAGTGGGGCAAGAGTCTTGAGGCTTTTGCCAATAAAAAAAATACATTTTCTGTTTTGAACTTTTTAACTTTGGGTTTTGTTTTTAAGGTAAGAGATGAGAGGTCCTGCCTTATAATCTAGACAGAGATCTGTATCATCTCTGTGGGCTGAAATCTATTATTAATAGACTAAGGATGGAGAATTTAGTATCACTAGCCACTAAAAGATAACCACATTTTAGATCGTTGAAACTTTCTCCTTTTTTGGAGGGGGTGGTGGGTGGTTGGTAGGTTAGGAAGGAGAGGAGACTTTCATCCCCAGGACACAGACAAAAAGTGCCTTAGACTTTTTCAGTTTTCAAAGTACACATCAAAATCTTTCCAGGGTGAAACCTGAATCTCCACGAGTAAAAGAATTACACTTCACATAAAGCTCAATGACAGAGAAGCAGAAACTTAAAATGACAAGCCAACAAAACACACCAATTTTCACGAGAAGTCATCTCCATGCAACAGCCATAGTGCTAGAGCCTAGAAGGTCACTTACTTTTCTCCGAGCGTCACCCGGAGGCTGCTCTGGAGTAGAGAAATTGATTGTTGGCATTTTGTTTTTGAGTAAAAGACACACCCACATTTAGAACAGCAATTATTGCACTTAGGACTACATTTATTAATAGAAACCACTTAAGAGTCCTCACAGTGAAAAGTGCCTGCAGTGCTACATATAAACACAGACACACACATACACACAGAGAGATCCACAGTAAAAATGCTGCAGGTGGATGGGGTTTTAAACATAAATCTATGGCTCTTAAAAGCTTGGCAAGGCTACTATTCTATGGGTATCCTTTACTGAGCATAACTCAACTGCTGTAATTCTGGTCATATATTTACTTTTCATCAGCACACAATGTTACTTTTAATAGACTGGTTTCAGGGTCTCATAACTGTGAACAATTCATTATAAAGTTATAGTGAAGGCTGGCTATTTTCCAGGGAGTGCAGAGACTAGAAAACAGGTTTTTAAAAAATAGGCAAAAAAAGTTTTAATACAGCGACATGTATATGTGGGACCATGACCCACTTGGGTCTCCAGTCAGACACATGCTATTCTGAATGAACACAAAGCAAAAGCTTTGGGGCCCTCGGCTGCTCGTTTTTTCTTTTTTCCCCTCTGTTACTCTTGCTGAAAAGGAATGAAGGACAACTGAAACAACTTTCTGCTCTTAAATCGGACAATTTCTGTATCTGTGCTTTTGGTTTTTTTCTCCTTTCTGTAAAAATCATCAAAGTAAGATTTTTAACTGTAAAGTTCCAAGAATCTGAAATTAGAAATGAGAGCATCCAACTGCATTGCTAGAAGACACTGGCTGCAGAGTTAAGTAGCCTCAATTTATCAAAATGAGATTTTTTTTTTTTTTTGCCTTGAACATTAATTTTCTGGCACGCAAATGGCAGGAGCATTTGTTTAAGACAGTCTGTCACAGCCAGGTGTATAGATGAAAGGAAATCAAACCCGATCTTCCAGAGTAGAAGGCAATTTCCAAGTTGCTTAGAACTTGGAAATATATATATACTTCATCAAGCTGTAAACAATACACAGAACAATCTCTTCATCCTCCTCAGAACAGAGATTAGGGAATGGTCAAAAGACAGCTAGAGATCCTACACTCATGACACTGAAACCAAAATCCGTTAGTTTAATTCACATATACCGGAATATTTTTAACTAATGAATTATAAACTGGACATCCAACTCAATTTCCATCAATGCCAATGTTTACTTTTAAACCATTGTATTCCCATTAATGATGGGAAGAAATTGAGAATAGGATCAGAATATGGTGTTTCGTTCCATTAGCCTTTCCTTCCTTGTACAGCTAATTTTTATTCTTTATAACTAAAACAAAAATAACTCAGCATTTTTCTAAATTCTCATTTGTCTAAAATACAACGCTTTGACAGAATTCACGAATAATACTGCTCTAGAAGTTCGTTGAGCAGCATTAGAGAAAATAAATTAATAGGTACCACCCAGTAATGAACAAGTTTGAGTTTTCGATTACTAAGGCCTAGCTGCAGGTATTCTAGATCAGTCAACCACCGCATTCAATCTGATAACTTGTTTCTTAGCTACAGGTGCCAAAGAGAATATCTTGATGTCCAGGCACAAAGAATGGGGCTCTACTACTGTTATTTTTACAGAAAACAATTTTATTTACCTAAGGTTAAGATCACAGTTCCCAAAAAGGCTCAACTTGAAAACAGCCAAAGGAGAATGCCTGGGCCCGATAAACCTTAACGTTACAAACCTACTTTACTGCTAAAGTCAACATTTGGTATTTTTTTCCAATAGGAAGTTAATATTTTTGTCTGTGCACATATTTTTCCTTAGTTCTCTTAAGTCTCATCATTTCTACCATGAAAAGGTGACTCAACTAGATTAATCAGTAAAACCAGGCCTTTTCTATCATTGCTACCTTTGTCCTGACTATAATTTTATTTTTAAAATCTTCAAGGCTAAAGACTTTTAAATACATAGTTTTTTTCTTTCTTTAAGAATATGTATTTCAACTGGACAAATACTTAGAAGAAATATGGATTTGTTCAAGTACATACTGGCTTTCTAACAATCCCAGACAGGGCAAGGACAACTGCAAGATTAGTCCTCAGATCTTTGGGAAACCATGGATTCAAAAAGGAGCCAAATAAACATAACAGCTGTAGTTTACACTTGCCCTTAGAATTGCTAATTTCTATAAATTGATTTAGTCAACAAGAGTAGTGTGATTTATCCTGAAGTGATGGCTAAATGTCATACTGTACTTACCTCCAAATAGTTCCAAATCTCTTAAGCCCTCAACAATGAACTTTTCCGAGACCCACCGCTAAAGAGGAAAACCCCAAAGAGAATTAGTATTTCTTGCAAGCCACAAAAAATTAGCTATCAGCCATTAGGCAGACAAATGAAAACACAACTACAAAAACAGAATCATGCAGTACAGTTAAGATAGTCCTACAGAAAAGTTTGGAAAAGAATCTTGAATTTAAATAAACTGAAAACAATAGATTGATTCCTTTCTCTATTCCTCTTTGCCTAATTTGATGAGTAATTCTTAAACCTGACAGATGAGAAACACACAGTACTGGCCCTAATAATGAATGAAGAATGTTTTTGTCCTTCCTATACATAAAACTACCTTTTGGTTCCATCTTACTCATTCCATGGCTGTCTATTACATAATGCCTAGGACCATGCATGCTAATTTGAAAAAATATTACTGGAATTCGCAACACAGGAAACAGGGATGAAACAGTGGTTTTTCACGAGGCTCTATTAGTTTGTAAAAGGAAACTGCAAGCTGCATGTTTTTTCATCTGCTAGGATTTCTAAAGAATCACTGCTTACATTTTTTTTACCAAGTTTACAAGGACCAAACTAGCATGAACAATCTATGGTTCACGTTACTGGCCTATTTCAAACGGGTATTGGATTTCCATCAGACTATAAGTGGTCTGGTTTCACCTGAATCAGACTAGGTTGAAATAGAAAAGAAGCTCATATTTAAAAGCAATGGAATCAAGATTGTATTTCACTTAAGGACTGGTGTTAAAGTTTGGCTCGGGGACATTCTTTCCATGGGGCAGAGTTCAGCCTAAGAAGAGATGCCATTTTTCCTCTTAATTAACAGCGAAGTCTACTCTTTCCATTACAAATTGTTCTTATACATAAACATAAGAAAAAAGATTAGGTAATGTTCAGAAATAAGTTGCATAATATGGATTATGAATTGGAACTATAACGTCATTCTCTGTCCTCCTCTATGTCAATTTTTTTCCAAATTAAAAGAAGAAATAACACCCTAAATTAAAAACTTGATATAAAAAAATCACGCACTGTGCCACAAAATACTTAATATAAATAAATTGTGCCATTTTAATATTTAAAGAAAGTGGTATGTTCATAATGTCTTATAGGAATTATACATTGTTACAAGGCTTTTAACATAATTACTACTGCATTCAGAAAATAAGTACAGTACTACCTTGGTTTGCGAGCATAATTTGTTCCGGAAACAAACTACTCGTATTGCAAGACATCGCTCATTTATCACGTTAAAATGTATTAGAAATGTTTGCTCATTTTGTGGAACACTAGCAATCCAAGGTTTTACTGTACTTGATAATAAATGAAATAAGATACTCTTTTATGAAATCATGGAAGCCTGTAAAGAAGCTAAAGCCAGTATTTTATTTGTTCTTGAGGTAATTTTAGCTGGTGAAGTTTTCAGGTGTGATAAAATTTTCCGAGTCAAAAAGTCTTCACTTAAAACCTATGATTATATTTGGGAAAGTGTTCCAATGATTACAATTTGACACAGATTTTTAAAACACACAAACTCACTGAAAATACATAGGAAAAGGGCAGATCATTAGCAGTTACATATGTACACATTCAACTCATTTAATGTTGAATGATTGATAGTCACCAAATAAGTCATCTTGTTTCTTCTCTATCAGACAAGCTGGGGGGCGTACTCTGTCTCTGGTCAGCCTCTGCCTGCGAGCTCTTTTCTCAGGAGTGGAGGCTGCAATATCGGCTTCCCTTCCCACATCCCTCACTTCTGTATGATTCTGAGCATCCCATAAAAAACCACCTACAATATCTGCCAAAACACATTGCTTTTCAGAAAATGAAAATAGTAAAGCCAGAAGAATAGAAACACTCACCCTAATTCGCTCTGGTTTACTTACAAGAAAAGACATGAGTTCCTAATGTGTAGACCTATTTCAATTTCAAAAAGTTAAACCTAAAAGGAAAATAAAAACAGGGTTAGTCAAATCTCCTTTTTTAGAAATATCTGTTGATTAACAAAAACTTACTACAAAACTTACCACATTCGAAGCACTGTACCAAACCTAAAAAGTCCTAGATACTAAAGATTTGTTTAAAGAAACTTTCAGTGACAATAGACCTGGATGTACTTAGGCCAAGTACATTCTGAAATACTGCAGTCTCCATAAGAAAAGTTTATTATTATATGGTTGGTTTTCTTCTTTAATTTTTAAATTTCTCTTGGCCCAACCCCCCACTGACCCCTTCCCAGAAGCAATTGCCTTCCATTATTTTAGTTATTTAACCTGCTTTATCACTATTCTTAAATAATGTTTACATGGCCATGACTTATCCATTTTAGACATTTATCTACTAACTCCTACCATGGTAGATGAAGACTAAGCTCTCCTGTATCACCTGCCTGCACTCTACTTTCCTGCCTTCATTCTTCAACATAGTTCTGGCATAATTTTTGGTTAAATCAATAGTCCACGTTTACATTACTTTGTCTATGCAAATGTGGTCATAGCTGAGGCACACGGGTAAAGATGACCATGTCTTCTTTCTTTACACCCATTTTTTTCCCATCAAGTTAATAATTGCCTCATTTTTTCACTTCCTTGGTTTGCCATGTAGCAATACCAAGTGTTGACAAGGATATCAATCAACAAGAACTCTCATACATTGCTGGTGGGAATGCAAATGAGTACGGCCACTTTGTAAAACAGTTTAATCACTTATGTTCTGCGATTGGGAACCATTGGTTCCCAAACCAGGATGTGTTTCAAATTAACTTGTGTAGTTCTAAAAACCTATGGATACCTGAACTCCTACCTTCAAAAATTTTAATTCAGCAGGTCTGGGGATACACAAGCAGAAACGGGCAACTCCTTATGGAGTTCAGCCAAGGAAAAGATTACTGTAATGGGTGGACCTCGATAAGTTTCATGAAGGGATGGAGCTTGAATGTCAAATAGGACTTAAAATGGCAATTCCGAGCATGAAATGGTATTAGCCACTGATAATTAAGTGCTTACTTTGTCTTGTCCACAGGTGTATCTCCGTTTCTAGAATAATGCCTACCACATAGTAGGTACGCACTAATATTGAATGACCAAATGGGCTGAGAAGTGTGTCAGCATTTTGCATATACTCTCCAGTTAACATGAGGTGGTTACAGAAGCAGGACTCCACATATATGAGAACAATGAATGGGCCTTAAATGCATGCTAGAGTATGGATTTTATTCAGCAGGCAATAGAAAGCCACTGTAGGTTTTGAACAGAAAGGGGACAAACACAAAACAGTGGTATAACGTAGTGTCTCTCAAACTTTATTGTGCATGCAAATCACTTGAGGATCTTGTTAAAATGCAGATTTTGATTCAAAAGGTCTCAAGTAGGGCCTGGTGCTTCTAACAAGCCATGGTTATGCTAGACTATGGCAACGCTGCTGCTCTGTGGACTGTCACATTGACTAATGTTTCAGATACCTTGTTCTAAGGAACATAGAAGGAATATTAATCTGCAAAGGGATGGGAGAAGGAGACATGGAAATAACCCAGAGAAAGGAATGCCAGTTAGAATACAATTATAGTGGACCATATATTTGGTGATAAGAGCCTGTGGCAGAGGGAATGTTAAAAAATGGATAGGGGAGAAAAAGAAAAATTATATTTAGTTAGTAAGGACAGAGTAAATCTCTAGCCCATCCTCTACCTTTAGAGGAATAGCTTTTACAAACTCCTGGGTATAAGGTTATCTAGTCTCTGCTTGAAACCGTCCCATACCAGAGACTCACTACCTTATCCACAGGAGCCCATTCTACCTGTGGACAACTCTGATGACTCCGGGGTGTGTGTGTGTCCGAGTAACTGTGAAAAGATACTGTGTCAATGACAAAACAGGAAAGCTCAGGGGTGGAAGTGGTTTGGGTGGAAAGATGAGTTCGAGTTCTTAAATCATATCGCAGTTGAGAAAATAGTTATATATTCTAAGTGGAAATATATATATATATATATATATATATATGGCATTCAGTTAGAAAAGTTAAGACTGATGCTCAAGAGAGAGGTTAGAGATGGGTATGTGTAGTTGGGAGGTAGCAGCTAAAGCAATAGGAGTGACAGAAATTCACTAAAGGAGAAAATGGTGAGAGAACATCAAAAGGCTGGGGGAGGAGCCTTGGGATAGGTCCATAGCTATGGCTCAAAGGGCTCCTGGCCTGAGACAGGTAATCAGGTAAGATATGGTTTCTTCTACTCTCAGGGACAACAGTCTCGGGTGTCTCTTGAAAGTATGAATCCGTCAATGAAGAACTGTCTTATGCCGCAAACACATATTGGAATATGGTTCTACTTTAACAGATATTATGATAATAAATGGACCAATTCGAAAGGCTTATCCTCTTTGGGGGAAGTCAAGTTAGGTATATGTTTGGATATCTGAGCAGAAGGCTAGGCAGATAAGTTAGTTCCCCATCTCCTGAAAACAATTTTATTTAACCACTCCCCTTCCCCCGCGCTCACTTACCTACCCTCAACACCCCTTCCCCCCGCCATCTCCACCCCAAATCTACTGTGGGCACTTAAACATTCTTGGAAAACAAGGCAATTGAAAGCTCTTTGTTTTGTCTGATTCACGGAGTCACCTAGATCTCTGTCCTTACGGGGGCTTGACCCGCTGCCTGTCCAGCCTGGGATGAGAAGGGAATGGAAAGCGGGCGGGAAGTACTAGAGGTGACGCCTCTTTGCTAGAGCAGGACAAATTGACACCTGGGCCTCAGGTACGCCACCTGGAAGTCAGGGGGGAAGAAGGGGCGGGAAAGGAGCTTGCCTCTCCTGCCCAGCAAATCCGCTCTCGTGTCTCCCCGCCAGGCCCAAGCCTATTCTGCTTTCCGGCTGCAGCCCCTCGTTGCGGGAATCGAGGACTCGGGTGAAAAGGGGGCCGTGGAGGGCGAGGGGGGAAGAGCCGGGATGGCCGATCTGACGAAGGCCCGCCCTGAGGAGATGCAATCGGCGTCAGGGAGAGGAGGGACTGATCCCTGGAGCGCACCAGGCGGCCCCGCCAGTCCGGTACCTGGTCCTGGAGTTAGCAAGAAGTCCCGACCCCGTCTCAGCTCCGCCTCCTTAGTTTATAACCTCGCCGCAGCCAGGCCGGTTGCTGGGGGGGAGGTACGCAACGTGCCATGCGCAGTTAGAGGGACCCCGGGAGAGCTGGTGGAGAGTTCCGCCCCGCCCCGGCGGGGGTGAGGAAGCTCCGCCCCGTGGGGAAGCTCCGCCCCGGCCCTAGGTTGAGGAAGCTCCGATTCTCCCGTCGCTTCGGGTACCGCGGACAGCCAGCAGCTACTGCGCGGAGTTGCGGTTCTCCGGTTGTGAGTTCTTATTCCGCGCCGCGCGTACCAGACAGCATTCCGTCTCCAACAGAAGGGCCCCGTTTCCCCAAGTGTGTGGAAGCCAAAGACCTAGCTTGTCGGTGAGGGCTGCATGGCTCGAAAAGGACTCCCCAGAGCCTCCGCCCCCGCAGCAGGAAGGAAGTGGATGATTTCAATAATGAAGAGTCAAGGAGGGCTAGAGTAAGGCTAACCAACACTGGCTGCTGACTTGGCTACTTTTTGAGGATTTTATTTTCATTTCGTGTGTTAGGACTTAAATGGAAAAAACCTGGTCGCGCTCTTTTCATTGAATACATCTCAAGCGCCCCTCACTTTGGCCTCTTGGGCAACAAACTGATAAGCTGCTAAGGGGAAACACCTTTTCTCTGTGTTCGGGTTACTTCTCTGTAAAAGGAGGAAAATAGCTTAATGGTAACTATCATTTTTATCTTTCTGGATCTTTTTGCTCCTGAATCCCTCCTCATCTGCAACTCATGTTTTGTTTGCAGAAACCTGTAAGGTTTGCCTAGATGGATAAGTTTGCCTAAGCCAAGGCAGGCAGCGCTTGAGAAATGATGAAGCAATCAAATGATGGAGCAAGACTCCCTTCTGTGAGGTTGCGTTTTTTTTCAGTGACTTACTGCGCCCATAGAAGTGGTTCCAAAATTGGGTATATACCATCAAGCTCTTCCCAGCCCTGAACCTTGACAGATTTATACTGGTCTAACCCCCAAGGCGGAGGAGTTCAGTTACATCCAAACAGGGACTGACAGAAATGTGACTTTGCAACTGAATGTGAACTTTGCTGGTAAATCAGTAGGCACCTCATTCAATTTTATATGTATCACTTTGATCTTATCTAGCGCTTTAACATTCCAAAGCACTATACCCTTACTATTCTCTCATTCTCCAAATAAGATGCCCCTCTCAGCAGCAAACTTGGTAAATTGACAAAGCAAGATAGTAGCAGAGATTGAAGTAAAATTCTTAGTGGTGTCTTTTGGAAAGACCTTCACATGTGGTCTTCGGAATTGGGGGTACTAGAGAAGTCAGTGCCTGAAAAGATGCCAAACTTGATGCAGTTTTCACAATGAGTAATTTAAAAGTAGAGGTACTTATCTGTTCTCACAGTCCAGTAGCTATGTCATTTTCTAGCTGGGTTATCAGTCTACCGTGGGGGCTAAAAGACCTCACCATCTTCATGACCACCCACAAAAGTTAGTTAGATGAGGACGGAAAAGGGGCCACAGGTTAAACCTGACAAGCTCAGGAGATTGAAAATAGCCATATAAGATGACGTGAACATAAAATAATTCCTAAGCAAGGTGGGCCATGGCAGAAAGTCACATCTTTAGCCTGAAGCTTCCTTGACAAGGGTCGATGTTTACCTTAAGTGAGCCTGCTTATTGTCTTTTTGCATCTATAATAGGATAACATGCCCTTGGAGTGTCAGTAATCCTTTTCCGGATCAGAGCAGGAAACTACAGAATCCCTCATTGTTATTCTTGTCCTCTGATTACTATGTCCTATATACTATGTCCTATAAAAAGCAAACTATTAACTATCCTGCACCCACCTATGTAAGAGGTACCTGTCTCTCCAATTTACTTTTATCCAATCCCAGAAATTTCCCCACTTTGCTTTCTCCTACCCCCTTAAACTATCACTAATGGATTTCATGTAACCCTCCTCTGATTCTGAGTATAAAATAAGCTGCAAACTGCCCTTTTGTGGAGCATTTTCTCAATCCCTTGAGATTTTGCTTCCCAGCAATTGTCAGTTTGGCTCAAACAAACTCTTAAGTTTTCTCTTAGACTGGATGTTTTTTCGTCAACATAGAGAACCTTTTGACCCAGACTCCGTTCAGACAGTGTCAAGGAGCAAATTTCCATTAGCGTTAGTTTTCCAGGGCCCACTTAGTCCAGATAACTTAGAAAACCGGTATAATGAAAGGTCAACTTTTAGCATTTACAAAGCCAGTCTTTTCCTGTTTTGCTTTTGAATTATGAGCCCTGGGCTACACAAGCCCTCCAATGCTTTCACTTACTTACAATAAGAGTTGGGGGGCTCTCCACAAAGATTTCTGGAGCTTTCTGAAACTGGCTTGAAGCCTAGAGGAATGGAAATAGACTGATGATCCTGTTTTGTTTTTAACTCTGAGCATCCAGTTTAAACTAAGGGCACTGCCCTCTTCAAGATACCACATAAACTGTGTGACAGGTACAGTTTATTGCCTAGAATACTCAAGTGGAATGCTTATGATATGTACTTTAACAAGTTCAGCAGGATTAATTTGCACAGTATTTTATATGTCAAAGCACTTTATATGTGTTATCTAATATACTCTGAACAGCATTTTAGAAAGGGGAGAGTAGGTAATGCCCATTTATAGATGAGGAAACAGACTTGTTATAGCACTGGGACAACACCCAGGTCTCTGCCAATAAATCCAGGGCTCTTTCCTGAAGTGGAAAACTGGCTTCAATTCTATTAATAGCTTTGCCACAACCTTACTAAGTGATACAGTTACATGCAAGAAAAAGATACAGAAGAAAGCTATTTAAGTGTTTAAGTTGAAAATGTGATAGAGCAGTTAAGCAAAGCTGATACAATAACCTAGACAGATGTAATATTATCCAATTTCCAAATAACTCCCATGGAATTAACTACTTAAAAAGGCCTCATGTCTTTTAAACAAATAAAAGTTACACAAGTTGGATAAAAACAAATAGATGAAATCAAAGGTCAGTTAATTTTAAAAGATTAAAATAAAAAGTAATAGCTATTAAAAGTGGTATAGTAGTAGACACAAGGTTCTCCTTTTCAGAAAAAAAAATTAGCTTTCTTCTGAAATTGGTATGACTTAGTTCATAGAGCTGAGAAAATGCCATTCAACTGTGCAAAGATATAAACATTACACTTCCAAATGCAAATAAATCTTTTGCTGATCACCAACAGTTATACTATGGGGATAACTGTTTCTCACCTGTTACATCCTTTCAAATCATTCAAAATGAGTGGAGGCAGGAACAGTAAGAAAAGAGAATCCAGGATATAAAGTATAGTATTTCAACCCTTCTATCAAAACAGATTCTTGTAGACAGTGCTTTAAATAATTTTCACAGTGCCAGTTCCTATTGGATGAGTGGAATGAGAAAGAAAAATCAATGTTTTTCTTTGGTCTAAGTCCCATCTAAAGAAAACAGTTTCACATCTGGTGCTTGACAGGAAAAGGTTCTATTCATAAGGAAACAGAATTGTAAACTATTACCCCTCACCCCCCCCCCCAAAAAAAATCCTGTCAAATTTTGCAGATAAAGTTAAGAGACCTCTGAAAGGATCTGCTTGGTTTCTATTGGGAGAAAGGAAAGCAGAGTAAAGCAAAAATGCACCACTTGGAAAATAGTCCTAGATAAAAATGCTGTAATTTATACGAGAATTTTACATATATTATCTCATTAGGTAGGGAAAAGAACGATGCTCACTTTGTAAAAGGAAGAACAGAACAGAAACTCAGAGGTTAGTTAGTGACTTGCCTAAAGTCAAAGGGTTAATTGTTGGTTTTGGTGGCACTAAAAGCCAGGCTCTATCTTCAGTGCAGTGCTTGCTTTGGCATTGCTAAGTGCCCAGACAATGCAGACAAGATTGGAGGGCTTAGTGGTTTTCCAGTGTGACAGTCAACAGCATTCTCTTTTCTGTCTTCTCATTTATAGGAGAAAGAGTGGTGTCTTAACTCAAGAGGGGGACTTCGGGTAGGAGCCCATTAATAACATCTAGGGCTCTACAACTAATAAAACATTTTAACAAAATAACTGGTAACTAAATGATTCTTGTCAAGGCTAACTCTTTTGAAGGAAAAGCATTTCAGTGCTGACTTTTATTGACTAGAAAGAACATCCCTATGGGCTTATACTCTTGGAGGGAAACCCCAGAAAAGTAAAGGCGGCACTCTGAGATTTTTGTCAATGAGTTTAATGTATGTCCATAGGTAGTGCATATGAATGCTTAAATTACAAAATTAGCTGCCATGGTCCAAGTGTGTGGGACTTTAAGAAAGCTTTTATCAAAAGATAACTTAGCCTATCAATTTTGATTTCTGTGATGTACTTTAAAGGTCTGTAAAATAATTCTAGAATTATATAGCATTAAATTTTATGTTATTTTTATTATTATAATAACTTAATTTCATGAACTGTTAAAAAAAATATTAATTTGCATCTCCCAGTTTACACATTTCTGCATTAACCTAGAGAAAACCCCATGTGAAGTTTCCATGCAGTTACAAAGGCAGCAGCACATGCTGTTTCCACAGCAACTTATTGCCTCAGAACACACCTGCACATAAAAGCATCCACAAAAAAATACCCGCCCACCCCTCTCCCACCAAAAAAACCCAACTATTTCCCTTCCCCACCAAAAATTACCTGGTACAAGCAGTGACTTAAAAAAATGCTTTCTTAGTAGGAAGCATTTATAAAATGCAGAGATCTGAACAAGCTAAATGCTTGTGCAGGTAGATGGGCCTCTCTCCCCAAGAGTTCCTTCCTCAAGAGGCAGAAAGAACTCTCCACAGTTTAGGAAAGTTCATTTTTAAAAGTATATTTATATTCATGGCTATTTCTTTGAAAGAATATACCCAGCCTCAGCGGTGGAGGAGATAAAAGCAGAAGGAGAAGCAAAGGGACACAGCCATAACACAGAGAATGGAGCCTCTCCAGAAACATCCAACAGGTTGCAGCAACCAAGAAGGAAAACATTTGTGACTTCACATAGACCATTGATCTGTTCTAGTTGAAGGAGTTAATTTTTCATGCACTTGCTACTCAAGAAAAACATAAAACCACTTAAAATATGGCATTCACAATGTCATTAGCTTATGGTATCAGGTAAAGGAGAAAACTGTGCTCCTGTACTAACTATCCCTAAAATTTTCCACATACATGTAAGCATCTTAAAGCCTATAGATATCCTATAATACTGTCATCAGGAGCCCTCACCTACAAAACATACACTGAACTACACTGTTTGAGTCCCTGAAATTTCAACACCACAGATAGTGTTCTAAATTTTACTTTTTTACAAGCTTAATGTAGACACAGAAGAAAACACCACGCAATGTTTATTGTGCAATTCCAACAGTTATTTGTGGAATCTTGGTTTAGAGGCATTCTTTATAGCCATTTCAACTGCCATTTTTAAAAAAGCAACAGTCTAATTGTGTATCTATAAATTCATGAAGTTTCTTCAAATATAGCACTAAAAGCACTAATGATTCATGTTATAATTTTAAAAATATTTTAAAACTAGAGTTCATATATCATTCCTTTCATAAAATAATCAAAATAATTTGATTATCTGGAAGAAAATTACTGAAACAGAGTCCTTCCAATGTATTCATAACCTCTGTAAAACTCCTAACTAAAAATAGAACAATGATGAAATAAGGATTTCTCAGTCACTGGGATTGTTTGACCTTAAGATGAGAAATGGACTGGTATTTTTTTACGTTTCCTGTGAGTTCAGAGCTTACAGGTGGCATCAGGACTCAGATCTCTGGGATGACTTTACATGGCTTTCACTTTGATTTGTTTCATTTTCATTTGCTTCTTTTCCAATTTCTTTTGCTCACGCCTCAAGGCAGCTTCCTAGAGAGAGAGAGAGAGAGAGAATCCACACTAAGCTGTAAGCACACATTTAACAATCAAAATTAGAATACTGCCTATATTACTAAAACCTAGGCTTGCACCATAAATAACATTTCAGAAGATAGTTAAAAAATTGCTAATATCTATGTTGGTTAATGAAAATTAACTTGAAGCAAATTTCAAGTTAGAAAGATCTAAATACTACATTTAAGCAGGCTTTGTTAGAATGGTCTGATTTTTCCTATACCCAGGAAACACCAGCCCAACTTTCATCATAACAATTTTATGTATCTGCCAAGGATTTGTACTTCCGTTCAGAAAACCTTAAGATCTTGTTTGATCAGGTTATTCATTATAAATCTCTTCTTTTTAGCAGATGTTATACCTGAGCACAATATTTCAATTCACAATGTTCAACTGGAGATTTTTATCATATTTTTATTTAGGAATTAGGATGATATACAGGAGAGAAAGAAGCTTCAATCACATTATTTCAGTATCAAAAGTCTGAATGTTTATCCATCCACAGGTGTGCTACTGTGTAAGTAGCTTGAAGAATTGAACCATCATTAACACTGATTTTATGGGCAACACAAAGGCAGGAATGAACCTACCCCCTTTGGCAGCTGCTGCCTCCTGTGAGGGCTGAGTAGCAA